TGACCTGAGCTGAAATCAAGAGTCGGACGCTCAACCGACTGAGCCACAGGTGCCCCTGAAATGGTGATTTGAAACAAGGGACCAATGACCTTGTAGTGCATTCAGCTCTGTTTGGTATCCCAGTGTGTGTGTGTGTGTGTGTGTGTGCGCGCGCACACGCATGCCTGTGCTCCCATCACATCAGTCACTGTTTTGAATCCCTGTAGAAATCTGTACAACTGACAGCTTCATTTTGAGCTTTTGTTGTCTTTACTAGGAGCAGGTCTCCCGGCAGCCTGTGAGTCAGGCTTCATTTCATCCCCATGCTGCTCCTGCATTCTGCTCATCTGTGAACACAGCATTTCTTAAACGATATCTTTAATTCTCTTCACATTTTCCTTCTAGCTCTTTATTCCCGAGCTGGTGGAGCTGACTCCAGGGCACGGCAGGTTGGACACTGCTGTGGGTCCTGCCCTTTGCACCCAGATCTCTCCACCAGCACCCAGGGTGATGGAGGCTTCAGCAGTGGCTCACCTGGTGGACAGTCTCTGAGCACCAGAGGAAGGCGACTCGGTGTTGAGGGCCATCTGTGACCTCCACAGACACTTGACTCTTTCTGTTCCCCTTCATCAAGGCAAAGGTGGGACATTATGCTGGCTCCACCTTACCTCTCAGGTCATCAGAGACTTTCCCCCTTTTTAAAGCTGATTTAAAGTTATTTCATTGCTGGGGCACCTGGGTGGCTCAGTTGGTTAAGCATCTCTGACTCTTGATCTCGGTTTAGGTCATGATCTCAGTTTGTGAGTTCGAACCCTGCGTCGGGCTGTGCGCTGACAATGCGGAGCCTGCTTGGGACTCTCTCTCTCCCTCTCTCTCTGACCCTCCCCTGCTTGTGTGTGTGCGCGCGCTCTCTCTCTCTCTCAAAATAAATAATGAACACTAAAAATTTTTTTATTATTTAATTGCGATGAAGCATTGTAGGGCAGATACACAAGGCATTCCTTGACTTTCATTCTGAAGAGCTGGGATGGGACCTTGGGAGAATCCTAAGTCCATTTCACGTGGCAATACACCTCACAGGCTCTGGTGCTGCTTGCATCTGGTATCATTCATTCATTCATTCATTCAGTTGTTCAGTCATAGTGTATTCGGCAGCTCCTGTGTGCCAGTTGCTGTTCTTGGGGTTGGGGGTGGGGATGACCACTCAAGTAAACAAAACAGAGAAAAGAAACCTGATCTCACAGGGGTTTCCAGTCTAGTGGGGCCAGATACAAAATCAATATAGAATAAATTGGTAATTTTTTCCCACAGTGTATTGGAACATGAGCTGTTTTAGTTGAATTGTGTGTTCAGGGACGTCCTCATCAGAAGATGACATTTGAGCAAAGACTCAAAGGAGGCTTTGGGAAGAGACGAGAAATGGGTGTTGTGGGCAGAGGAACAGCCAGTGCTAAGACCTTGAGGTCGGAGAGTGCTTGGAGAGTTGGAAGAACAGTGACGTCAGTGTGTTTAGGGCCAAGTGAGGCAGGGCAGGAGTGGGAGGTGAGGTCCAGAGCTGGGAGGAGGGCACATCACCTGTGGCCTAGTTAAGACTGTGTGAAGACTTTGGCTTTTATTCTGAGTAAGAGTTGGTCAGTTGCTCAATATCGCTAAGCCTCAATGGTAGTAAATGTACTTACCTTGGAAGGTTGTTGTAAGGAGGAAGTAAATTAAGAAATGTAAAATGCTAAGTGTAGTGGCAGGCACCCAGGGAGTACCCAGGGATTTGCAGGTCGAACTGGTTTTGCTGCCGTTCTTAGTGTGCGTAATAGGTTACTAGCTATAAACTCCGTAGGGGCAGACACTGTGTCTGTTTGTTTTCTCTTTTAGCATTTTATTCTCAGACCTGGTACAATTCATGTCAAATAGTAAGACCTCGGTCAGTATTCATTGAGTGTGGGGCGCGTGGGTGGCTCAGTCGGTTGAGCGTCTGACTTCAGCTCAAGTCATGATCTTGGCGGTTCGTGAGTTTGAGCCCTGCGTGGGGTTCTGTGCTGACAGGTCAGAGCCTGGAGCCTGCTTTGGATTCTGTCTCTTTTTCTCTCTCTCTCTGCCTCTCAAAAATAAATAAACTTTAAAAAAGTTTTAGAAAATATTCATTGAGTGATATCATTATACCTTTATTCTAAAGAAGCATCCTGAAATGGTGGTCTTAATTGGCTTATATTTAACCCTTAACTTATTTTCTGTTGCTTACAGAAAGAGAACCCATCCATACCTTTTGCCTTCTCCACAGGGATTGGTTTTTTTTTGTTGTTGTTGTTGTGATCATAACCATCAAAGTTGCAGTGCTGTGGTGTGGACAGAACTTGGAAGATGTGATGTCGTTCTGGAATAGTTCTTTTGTAGTGGCTGTGATGGGTCACTTAACTCCTCTTTCCTTGTGTTTCTGAACAGTGATATGGGTTCAGAAAAGTCCCTCCCTATTTCAGGGCTGTTGTGAGCACAAATGAGATACTAGATGGCGATGTTCTTTGAAAACTCTAAATGGCCACCTTAGAGGGAACAGTAGGTATGATGCATGGCGGCCTCTGATGTCCAGGCGATGGCTGTGCTTTGAATTCTTTCTGGGGAGGACTTGCTGACGTGTGCCGTACCTCGGTGGTACCTCTCTGGGGTCTGGCTGTTGCCCGCAGTGGAGCAAAAGCCAGGGGGTGTCTCAGGTCACCAGACAGGTGGTCTTTGCCTTAGGAATGTTTTTTTTTTTTTTTCTAAGCTTCACAGTGGAGGTTTAGGCTGCCAGAATTAATTCTTATAACCATCTCTTCAATTTGTTTAAATGATTTAAATGTATTTCTCTGCTTTCAGGCTTCTGCTAAAAGTCTTAATTTGTGACTAGGTCAACCTCAGATGTTATTATCAAAAGTTGATTTCAGAAACATGGCTTATATGTCCCCTTTATCAGAGCTAATTAAATTCTCCTTCCTGTCAGATGATTCTTGAGGGGACACCCATTCCAGGAAGCATTCCTAAAAATAAATCAGAAACAAGGTAACAATATTGTGACCAAAAGGGCGGTTTACATATGTCTCTCATCATGCCTTGCTTTCCAGATACTAATTGAGCTCTTTATTTTTTGAACACTTAAAAAAAGAAGCCTCACGTGTTTTCTGTGTTCCTTGACATGCTAGGAATAGTGCCAAGAACATGATAGATGAAGTCCCTACACTCTCAGAGCTCACCTGTTTGGGAGAGGGAAAAAAAGGGTTATTTCAGATTTTGTAGCGAGGGAAGCCTTCTCTGAGGAGGTGACGTTTGAGTACAGAACTTTGTGAAATGAAGCAGTGAGCCATGGAAAGCTTGGGAGAAAAGCATTCCGGCAGAGGGCCCAGCAGGTGCAAAGGCCCTCATGTGGAAATGATCTTGGCACAGTCCAGGGACATAATGAAGGTGAGGAAGGGAGAGTGTAAGGGAGGAGGGAAGAGAGGACATCTGACATGGGAGGAAACTGGGTTTTACTTGAAGTTGATAAGGATTGTAAATATTTAAAATTATTTACAGCTTAAATATTTTCTTCTGATACCAACCCATCTCCGTTTAACTGAGATTCTATGAAGGAATCGCCCAGTGATAGGCAGAGAACGTGGTGGCATTTTTGGAGTTTCATTTTCATTCAATTCAAAATCCCTCAATATTCCTAAAGGAGTTTGTTGGAAATTGTCTGACAAGCGCAATTACCAGGGCGAGTAGCTGTTTTACCATGCAGAATTCTGTCCGCGTGTGTTTATGTGTGAGTTCATTTCCACAAGAGAAATTGAGGGCCTCGTTTCTCTGTAGTCTGGTATTTACCGAGTTCTGTTTTATGATCAGCCCTCAGAAGCCAGAGGGACATCAGATAGAGGTCTAATTTTCTGTTCACAGAAGCAAATGATAATTGAAAAAGCGGGGAGAACATGTCTGAAGCCTTGAGCTGTCTCAGGAGAAGGGGATGATCATTTCTCATTGTTTTGTAGCGCATCTCCAAGCAGAAACACATGGTGATTTACAGGTTAGCAAAGGGCACCAGGATAAACACTTTCCTTAGGAGCATTGTCACAGTTTAAAGTCACGCAAATGAAATTGTATCTCCCGTATCTTGCAAGGTCACATGTCTCTGTGATCACCCTCCAAAATACTGAGGTAGAAACTTTCATAAAGTTCTGCTTACTGCTCTCTTCGGGCGGGCTTACCATTGTCGTGTAAGCCGATCATTTTGGAAGCTTTTAATTAAATAACATCACTTTAAAAGGGGTTTTCCGGGGTGCCTGGGTGGCGCAGTCGGTTAAGCGTCCGGCTTCAGCCAGGTCACGATCTCGCGGTCCGTGAGTTTGAGCCCCGCGTCAGGCTCTGGGCTGATGGCTCGGAGCCTGGAGCCTGTTTCCGATTCTGTGTCTCCCTCTCTCTCTGCCCCTCCCCCGTTCATGCTCTGTCTCTCTCTGTCCCAAAAATAAATAAAAACGTTGGAAAAAAAAATTAAAAAAAAAAATAAAAGGGGTTTTCCTCCAGTAGAAATTGGGAGACATAGGTAAGCACATCTTTAGGGGAGATAAGTTAGTTGGGCGGTCATTTCTCATGAGGAAACCTTGCAGTGGTCCATCCAGGACGTGGAAAAGGAGGTTCCGGTTTCGATCTCTAGTATTTGTTGTCATGGCTGCTAAAAATATTAAAGTTGGTATCTTCCTAATGAGCCTCAGTTTTAAATGCTTTTGCCTTAGAAAATTCCTGTAAGTAATGTGTTGCTGAAATCAACGTTATTTCGGAGCTTGGGTTTGGGGCAGCTCTTCACTAGGTGTGTTCTTGCTGGTCACCTGTTACCTGTGGAGGGGTTAATGTCGGGGTGACCTTGGGAGGCTCCCCCACGACAGCACAAGTAGTTAGGAACTGTTATTCCGCAGGAACAGCATTTCCTAGAGCCACAGCTCTGAGACACGGAGCTCATTTCCCAGCGATGGCACCACTTTTCTTACGAGGGAATAATTGACCCATTTATGGTCTTGTTTCAGCTTGTTGCGGATTCCTGTGCCAGCAGCCCTTGTCACCATGGCAACTGCAGCAGCAGCAGCAGCGATGGCTACCTCTGCATTTGCAATGAAGGCTATGAAGGTCCCAACTGTGAACAGGCGCTTCCCAGCCTCCCCGCCTCTGGCTGGACCGAGTCCATGGCCCCCAGGCAGCTTCAGCCTGTCCCCGCCACCCAGGAGCCTGACATCATCCTGCCCCGCTCTCAGGCGACCGTGACTCTGCCCACCTGGCAGCCCAAAACAGGGCAGAAAGTTGTAGAAATGAAATGGGATCAAGTGGAGGTGAGAACGTTTGATTGCATATGTTTTTATGTAAAGAAACCAGTGAGGTTAAGATAATGCCAGTGGTTGCAATATTGGCAGTAACAACGGAAGACCTTTAAGTTATCCTCTTGACAAAACGGGGAGTCTGAGGTTATTCCCGCCTTCACTTGTGTGTAGATCCCTTTTGGTTACGCAAAGGGGATTTTTCAATTATGACTGTTTTGTGGGCATCAAGAGTGTAAGCAATAAAAGGAAAAGGATGAAATTATTTTCTGGGACGATATCCGTGTATATTTCTGTGAGATCGTTTTGGATTCGGCGCAGAGAGCCCAAGGAAGGGCCATGTAAATGAACGTATCACGGACCCTCCACCGTTGACCTAATTTTCCTCAATATTATGCTTAACTCCTTGTTTATTTATTATGATTCTACTTCTGGTGCCTTGCGGCCAATATCATTTTAAAAACAGCTGCTATCAGTGATTTCTAAAATATGTTGAGACCGCATTTGAGAATGAAATTTCCAAATTTTATTTATTTTGGCAATAACAAATTCCATTCATTGACTCTCGTCCAGTCTGGGTTTGGCTTGTGTTTCAAGCTCATCAGAAGTCTCATTTTGAGGAATTTTCAGCAGATCCTTGAAAGTTGACGTATAATCTAAATTTGCTAGCTAGGAGAGCTGAGGAGCAAATCCAAATCATGACTTTGAGGTGATATCCATAGGGTATAATTCCGTTCCATATCTTGCATTTTATAGGGCATCTTGTGATTGTATATTATTGTAGGTTTTATAGCTCAAACGACAAAACACATAGATCTTTGTGTAGCAGTTTTAGAGTCAAAGAATGTGTGTAGAAGTTTCTCTTATTGTCAAAGAGACAAGGTAGCATCCCTTCTTTCATTTTCTTGGGTAATTGTAACCAGTGACCCATTTTTTTTTTTCATTGCCACACAATTTATCAAGGCCATCTTCAGACCGCAGGGCAGTGCTTATAGCCTACCCAGCAAAACTCTGGACGTGTTCTGATTTCAGACTTTTAACAAATGCCTTGAAGTTATGGTTTTAATTCCTCTTTGCTGAATGACTCACTTCTTGAATGTGAACTAGATTTGATTCTACATTTGTCAAGGAAGTGTCCTTTAAAGAAAATTTCTCCCCAACCACCCATTTCAATCTATTTATTTAAAGACCTCCTGTCCTGTAGTTGGCAAACGTAAAAAGAAACGCCTCGTCTTCTTGTCATGCTGTAATTTCTTAGGCTGTTTCAAGAAGCGGGTTAAAAGTTGCCAGAGGAAGGTGTGAATATATTTGGGTTTCTCCTTTCGTGAAATAGTGATGCTTCAGAAATGTGACGCTATTTGAAGTCTTAAGGGACTAAAATTGTTGTAACAGTTGTCTGTTAACACAAATTTAACGAGTCGGGCTTCCATCTTTGAATATCCATGGTGGGCTTACTTTCTGGCATTTGACTGTCAGGCCTTCTGGGGCATATATTCTCAGCATTGGGTGTGGGTGGAGGTGCTGAGAATTTCTGTATTGTTCTCAGTTTATTCAGTGATGATGGACACATATAATACCACCCCCTTTAATGTTTCTTTATTTTTTTTTTGAGAGAGAGTGAGCACAAGCGGGGGAGGGTCAGAGAGAGAGAGAATCCCAAGCAGGCTCCACGCTGTCAGCACAGAGCCCCACGCAGGGCTAGATCCCATGAACTGTGGAGATCGTGACCTGAGCCGAAGTTAAGGGTCAGACACATAACTGACTGAGCCACCCAGATGCCCCTAATACCCCTTTGTTTTGACTCTGCTGGGTGAAGACAGTGCTCATGGCATGAGGAGTAAATGAATAAGTTGGTCAGAACCACCCCATTGGACGCAGCTCAAGCGTTCACAGTGTGTTTTCTGATGAACACCATTATTCCCCCCCTTGAACTCCCTTTACGTACATATCAGCGAAGGTGTAGTCCATAGGGGGAAAAAAAAAGGCAGCTTCCCAGTCCCCTGGCCTTAACGCATGCTCCTGAGACCCACCTCTGCACAGGGCAGGGTCACCCAGACTTAGCGCTTCTTGCCTACTGTTCGTTTTAAGGCTCGCTCTCCTAGTTAATGCTTGCTGCATAAAAGCTAGTCCTTAAAGCCTGTCCTCTGGTTCTCCAAGCGCTGAGTCCCAGACCGAGCATAGAGCAGAGGCCACTGACTGCTCGCTAAATGGAAGACAGCGGGGAGTGGACCCCTGCAGCGTCCTGTTCATCAGTCATCGTGATCTGGGAATTGGTAGACGGCTCTCAGGAAAGCTTTGGCATTTCAGGAAACCAGGTGGCAAAGCTTTCATTTTCTTTTGAGTCTGTACCATGTCACCTGTCTTCTCTCTGTCTCCACCTCAGCGTCACCCAAAGGTAGCTTCTGGAATTTTGCTTTGTAATATTATCACGTGTGATGATCGACCCTGATAACTTGTTTCTTCCTTTTTTTCCCAGGTGGTCCCAGATATTGCCTGTGGGAATGCCAGTTCTAACAGCTCTGCCGGTGGCCGCCTGGTAACCTTTGAGGTGCCACAGAACACGTCGGTCAAGTAAGAAAACTCGCAGTTACAAATCATTAAGATCGATACTGTGACCCTATGCTGGGTTGTGTCTGTCCATGTAACTGGTCCGTCCAGTGAGAGTCATGAGCAGAGCTCCATGTGTAGATGTGGCCTAAGTGGCTCAAAATCCAGAAGGAGCTATTTCAGGAAAGGATGTTGCAGTGGGGATCCTGTTGGGTGGAGATGTGGAACTGGCTAGGATGAGTAAGGTGCGAGATAAGAAACCTTCCCTTCCCAAGTGACTTTTGCTTCCAGAATTCTTTGGCGTCTTACGATTTGAATGGGCTGTTGGTTAAATTCATGTGCATCATTTGCCCCAATTCAAAATCCAAACATTACAATTTTATCTGAGAAGAAAGTGTTTTGTTTTGTTTTTATTTATTGACTTTAATTAATTAATTTATTTCTGAGAGGGAGAGAGAGGGAGAGGCAGACAGAGAGGGGGACAGAGGATCCAAAGTGGGGTCTGTGCTGACAGCAGAGAGCTTGATGTGGGGCTCGAACTCACAAACTGTGAGATCGTGACCTGAGCCGAAGTAGGACTCTTAACCGGCTGAGCCACCCAGGTGCCCCTTGTTTTGTTTTTAAACTTAAGCTCTTTCAAACTACATACTGCCCATGGAGGCGGGCAGAGATGGGGAAGAGGCAAGGGGTGTGCCCCTGCCGTGTGTCAGGTGCTCTGTGTCACTGGGGAGTGGGGTGGAGCCAGCCCTGGAGTGACCCCATTACCTGCCAACCCCCCCCCCCCCCCCCCCCCCGCCCCCACGTAGCCAAATGGGAGTTTGCTGTCCAGTCTTCAGGAACTTTAGAAGGCCAAGGGACATGTGACCCTGGTTAACTAGTGCTCTGTATCAACTCCCTAGTAGGGGGGCCGTGGGCACTTTGGGCCTCTTCTATTCATACAGAATTGTTTTTGCCCACCTTGCTTTCTTTTTTAAAATGTTGATTTTTGAGAGAGAGAGAGAGAGTCAGTGTGAGCAGGGGAGGAGCAGAGAGAGGGGGACAGCGGGTCTGATGCAGGCTCTGCACTGTGATAGCAGCAAGCCCGATGTGGGGCTCGAACCCACGAACCGTGAGATCATGACCTGAGCCGAAGTCAGACGCTCAACTGACTGAGCCACCCAGGCGCCCCTGCCCACCTTGCTTTCTAAACAGTGGGGTCCCTGAAATGTTTGGAAGGGGGACTTTGTTACGTTGCCCCTGCGTCCCCTCCCCCCCGGGGCCTTGAACTCAGTCTGGTGGCGGAAGAGTCAGAATGGGCAGTGAACTTCGCACCGGGAAGAAGTCCCCGCGGGGAGAAAGGTGTGGCATCTGAGGCAGCTTCCAGTGCTGCCAGCAGGGGGACCCCGGTCCTAAGTGTTTCATTGCTCATAACACAGATGATCTGGGCTGGTCAGAGCTGGCTTTGGGGAGGATCAGTAGTTTCCTTTACGTGTATGAAACCATCTCATAGTGCTTTCTTTTCTGGGTCATATTATCTTTCTTTCATAAGCCTTTCCAAATAGTTCTGATCCTCTATCCCTTTAAATACTCTACCTGCCCCCCGATCAGCTTGAAATTCTCCAGGCCCCTTCTGGGCTTCAGGACAGGGCAAAAATAGCAGGTTGACCCAGGCTGAGTCATCTCTGCGTGCCCTGAATCCACCTGCAAGAGTGGCTAGCCCCCGTGTACTTACATTTATTCACGAATTCAACCTTTTACGAAACCCCGACTGAACACCCAGCCGCAAGCCAGGAGCTCAGCGCTTAGTACGCCAATCTTCTCCCGAAGGTGGAGACCTGGTTTTCTAGGAGCACACAGGAAGCAAGGGACAGCTTCCGGGTGGTGGGAAGGTGGTCAGGGCAGGTCTCAGAGAAGAGATGACCCGTGGGCTAATAAGCCTTGCAGAATGTCACTTAACCAGGCATGCGAGAAGGCAGAGGTTGGGAGCTGGGAGGGAACCTGGTTGGGGAGGGACAATGGGTCCGTGTCGCTGGAACGCTGGGCTGCAGGATTTGAGGCTGAAAGGGGAACTGAGGCCGAGGCCAATGTGCTTCCTAGCGTCTCATTCTTAGGACTTTACCCTGAAAATAAGAAGCCAGGAGAGGCCTGGAGCATGGGAGGTGACACACTTTTGCTTACGTTGGCAGCACAACTCAGGTGGCCATCTGGGGATGCAGGACACATTTGTAGTAAATTCAAGCAGGACTCATATTGTGTGGATGTGGAAGGATTTGTCTCTAGAAGAACTCAGTGTACTCTTTTATTCTTTTTTTTTTTTTTTAATGTTTATTTATTTTTGAGAGGAGGTGCGGAGGGGCAGAGGGAGAGGGAGACACAGAATCCGAAGCAGGCTCCAGGCTCTGAGCCGTCAGCACAGAGCCTGACGCGGGGCTCGAACCCACAAACTGTGAGTTCATGACCTGAGCTGAAGTCAGACGCTCAACCGACTGAGCCACTCAGGCGCCCTGACCCTTTTATTCGCAATGAAAATTGTTACTCGAATGTGAGTTATCTATTGGTGTTTTCTGTGGTATATTTTGAAGCAAGTGGGAGACCTTTGTAATGATTTCCTGAGACCTTTGTGGATGTATGTATATGTCATTCTATTTTTATTTTCGACTTGGACGGACTGGTTCTAAGATGAGTTTTTCTGAAAGGGACTTTTGGTTTACTTCACCCCCGTTTTCAGAATTCGGCAAGACGCTGCGGCCTCGCTGATTCTGCTGTGGAAGGTCACGGCCGCGGGATTTCAGCAGTGCTCCCTCATAGACGGACGGAGTGTGACTCTTCTCCAGACGCCTGGGGGTCTGGTCCTCTTGGAAGAGATGCTCGCCGTAGGGCACAATCACTTCATCGGTGAGTTATGGAAGTCTGCCCGTCAACACATCTGATTCCACCCAACCTTGGTTTGGGCATTAGGGCGTTTTGCTCAGATAATCTGAGTTCTGGCCATCAACTAAATGTCCTCCATTTTCGAGGAGGTTTTGCTTAAACATCCAAATTGATTTATAAGGCAGCATCTCCTGTGTGGCTCGATATGGAAAAAGCGTGGGCTCTGGAATCCTGAGACTACGTATCCCAGCCCCGGACAGAGCGTCATAGATGTGTGATCTTTGGCGCATAATGTTCTGAATCTGCTTTCTTTTTGACTCCAGTCTGCAAGATGCTGGACAGGGTACAGTGGGCAGGAATCATGGGCAACTTCAGGCACCGAATGTTGGTGTCTCAGAAAAAACCCTGTTCTCCCTTGATTTACACCTGACCTAGGGCCCGGGGCACAGCACCTCGGAAGCGATTGGCTACATCTGCGCCTCTGACTCACAAGTGACTTGAGGACTACATCTTCCCCCCGGGCTCCTCTTCTTCACCCACCTTTCCCTCCTGGGTCACTTTTGACTTTTCACTTTCTCAAATAGTGTCAGTCTGCAATTTCACCTGCCCTAAACGACCACATGCCCGATTGGCCCAATTTTCAAGTTCCTCTGCCCTAGAGTAGAAATGGCCCTCATAAAGTGTGACCCCCCCACTCGCTGCCTCCTGCCCCTCCCAAGGGCGACATCTGGGCGGTTTCCAGAGGACCCTTCCCCTGGTAGGCATTCTGACTGTACCCTGTGTTGCCTTCACCCCTCACCCAGCGCAGAGTATCTTTGGGGTTGGAGCTTGTAACCCCAGCCCCTCTGCAGGCGGACATCGTCAGCTGCTTTATCAGAGCTCCTTGCATCCCATCCTGCCGCCTCTACTCAAGTTCAGACTGCACCCATCCCAGTCCTATGCGCCCAAGCAGCCCCTTGCATCCTGCTGTTTATACTGCTCTCTGTCTGATCATATATGCTAACAGTCCTCACCTGGAGAGGGGCAGTGACAGCGTCTCTCAGGGGTGTTGTAAGGGTTCAGTGGGACAATGGGTGTGAAAGTGTAAGTTACAAGTGTTAGGGATGATTCTAGGTACTTTCTCCAGTTTGTTCTGAGAGACCCTAAATATTTTGCTAAATGAAATGGAAAAGTATACGAAAGACATATTCTCTAAGGTGTATATTGGATCCAAGTTTCATAATGAAGACAAACTGGTGAAATGAAATGCTCGGCTCCATATAATTTTTGTCACTTTTTCATTTGATCGACCCTCCTCTGATAAGAAGGCCGTTTCCCAGTCTTTGGAAATCCAGCTGTGGAGTGGTTGGGGGATGTTACTGGGTGGAGAGCTTGGTGTGGGGAACGGACATACTGGAAAAAGAGAGTAGGGTATTTCATTTCGGACTGATGTTTGTCTGTTCAGATAGCTGTTGGATTACAGCATGATGTAATATCGTCCAAGTCAAATCTGAATTGCACTCCCCAAAACATACTTCCCCGTCTGTTGTAACAGTTCATCTAAAAGGATATAGTTTGTATATTTTGGTGAATAGTTTCAATTTTATTTCGTATTGATTTTGTAAGTTTTTCTTTTTAGTGGATTAAGCTGTCCTCTGATGTGGAGCTAACATTTCACAAAAACATATGTGCTGTCATCACTCTGTAAAATGTCGTTAGTGTTACCAGAAACTATCCATTTGAAATGTTAGCTTACCTTTGATATTGATACTACGTTTAGTTGTAGCATAACTATAACTTGAGACCGATGTTGGGGTTAAGGATGGAGATTAATGAAGAAGGATTTTCTAGCATTAGTATAATTTTATACCCTTAAGATACAAGGAATTATATGAACTCTTAACAGAATTTGTGCTCATTTTTCTAACAAACAATTGCATGGCAGTGTATTCCTCCTTACGGGAGTAATTTTTGAAGATTTAATGTGGTATATTAATAACTAAGGAATTTTTTTCTCAAAAATTATACTTGAGGTGACAGACGATTTTGAGATGAGGTGATGGTGATTTTGAGGAACATGCTTTATTTCTCTAAGCTGCTATTTTCCATTTGGAAAATTTGGGGTCTGATGCCTTTTTAAATTTCATAACTCGAACACATTCTAAGTGCTTTGGGCGGCTTTGTATTGGCGCTCACAATCTTCTAGTGTTACTCTCTTTCAGGATGGGGCCAGTCTTGTCCCAAGCTTTTTCTGAGGAAGAATGGCTGCCTTCCTCCCAATGGACCACAGGCTGCCACACATTGCCGGCTCCTTCCTTTACGAGGTCTTTTTATCTTAAAGGAGCAAGATTTACCTTTTGTAATCATCGTGGAAGTCTTATGTTTACTGCATTGATGTGTGTTTAATGTTCTTTTTAATTTTTTTAAGGCAGCTTCTTTTTTTTTTTTTTAATTTTTTTTTTTAACATTTATTTATTTTTGAGACAGAGAGAGACAGAGCATGAATGGGGGAGGGGCAGAGAGAGAGGGAGACACAGAATCGGAAGCAGGCTCCAGGCTCTGAGCCATCAGCCCAGAGCCCGACGCGGGGCTCGAACTCACAAACCGCGAGATCGTGACCTGAGCCGAAGTCGGACGCTCAACCGACTGAGCCACCCAGGCGCCCCTAAGGCAGCTTCTTAAAATGATTTATTTTTACAATACTGGGCTCTCTAGACACGAATGCATTTTAGCTAAGAACCAAAAGACCATTCTAAAGAGTACAGAGCCTCCATTGACAGATAAACAAATGGGATGCCAGTGCGAGTGGGAGAAAACTTCTGCACCAAAGGGCCAGTAAACCTCCAGAGTTGTGGTGCTGTGTTCTAGTCACTACCACTCCTTTCTAGAAAGAGAGGCACTTGCAGGAATTGACTGTCCCCTCTCTGCCCTTCATTCTCAATTGGGTCCACTTACAGAATTGATGACCAAAGGTCTTTTAATATTTCTTGTTAATTAATGTATTTATTTTTGAAGAGAGAGAGAGACAGAGAGAGAGAGAGAGAGAGAACATGAGCAGGGGAGGGGCAGAGAGAGAGAGAGGGAGAGTGAGAATCCCAAGCAGGCTCCATGCTGTCAGCACAGAGCCTGACCTGGGGCTTGATCTCACGAATCATGAGATCATGACCTGAGCCGAAACCAGGAGTCAGATGTTTAACCAGCTGGGCCACCCAGGTGCCCCTGTTGCTCTGTGCAACAGAGTAGTAGAGTCCCTGTGTGTTTTTGGGAGACAAACTTGGTCATCGTCACTGGCTTTACACAAATATCCTTTTTAAAAGTTTATTGCCAAGACCCTGTTAATGTTCTACATGGTCCAGATGATGATGTACTTATATTTGACCTATTTCAGTGACACTCCATTGAATTAAAAGAAATTTTTTTTGATGTTTATTTTTGAGAGAGAGAGAGTGCACAAGCAGGGGAGGGGCAGAGAGAGAGGGAGACACAGAATCAGAAGCAGGCTTCAGGCTCTGAGCTGTCTGCACAGAGCCTGATTTGGGGCTCAAACTCACGTACCATGAGATCGTGACCTTGAGCTGAAGCCAGACTGAGCCACTCAGGCACCCCCCACCCCCGCCATTGAATTTTTAAAACAGATTCCTTTCATTGACATTGCCTTATGAATATTTATACCCTTTGATCGAAAGAAAAAGATGATAAAACATTTCACAAAACATGTAGCTCTTCCTTCTGTGCCTCAGTGCATCACCTTTCCCTCCATGTTGTCACCCAGTTTCAATGCTTCTGCCCGCTCCTTAATCATCTCTTTGCTTTTCCTAAATGTGCTTCTTTCAACTATGTTATTTGCTTTAGGCACCGTTTTGAGGTCAGTCACTAACTTGACTTTTGTGTCGCATTGTCTGCTCCATGGCGAGCAGCCCTGGTGCTCCGGAGCTTACTGAGTGATTCATCCGCTCCCTGGTTCATGGCCCCAGATAGTAAGGGATTCATGGTTCCAGTTGTATTTCCATGATAAGCAGTTGTCGGTCTTGTGTTAGGTACTGTTTTTGTTTTTTCACTTGGGGTTGCTTGGACACATTGCTGGGGTAGACACTCTCAGGGATGAGGGCCCAGCCAGCTGTCTGGTGTGTGGGCTTCGTGTGAGAAAGCGGTTAGAGGTTGTTGCCATTTCCGCAGGGTAGAAGCCCCATTGGACTCCTTTTCTAGATTTTTCTTTCTCTGGTCACCTGCCCTTAGGCTTATCTCCCAGTACTTCTCCGTGGTCTCTGTCCATCCATTGCCTGTCCCATCCCCACCTGGACCTCCCCCTGCCTCATCTTGTCCATGCCTCAGACCCCCCCAGATCTGTTCTTCTTTGAGAACTCATTTAAACTCTCCTTATTTGGAGTGGTGTAGGACGAAAATGGCCAACCCAAAATTCTACTCTACCTGGATTCTGAAATCCTCTGAAACTCTACTTATGAATTCTTATAAACACACAGGCAACCCTGGAATATTCTCACAGTTAGTTCTTATTTTGATCAGAAAACCCAGGTGGTGAGGCATGTCTGCTTTACCTGTGTTTCTGTTTACCTGCCTGTTCAGAGAAGCCCCTACTGTTTCCCTCACACTTTTCTCTTTTATAATCCAGATCTGTTGTTAACCTCAATCTGGCATTTTTCTTTCTTTCCCCTTCTTTGAAATTATTTTCGTTTTGATCCATCTCATTCCCTTCTCATTCTTTCTTCTTCTTTTTTAATGTTTATTTATTTGAGAGAGAGAGAGAGAGAGAGAGAGAGAGAGAGAGAGAGAATGAGCAGAAGAGGGGCAGAGAGAGAGGGAGACACAGAATCTGAAGCAGGCTCCAGGCTCCGAGCTGTCAGTGCAGAGCCTGACGCAGGGTTCGAACTCACAAACTGTGAGATCATGGAATCATCTTGACAGTGGTCTCGCTACTCGTATTTGCCTCTCTGTCTTCCCTCATTCTCTTCTCCTGCCTATAACCCGCTGCTTTTCTCTATAACCTTTTACCGTATTTATATCATTCTTAACAATGTGTAGTACAT